TGGAACAACTCACTTATTACAAACTGGGCATGTTCTTCAGAAAGGGGTTGAAATCCCTCATTTGGGAAGTATGATGAGGTCATCGGATGCTAGCATATTACAAACACAGTTTGAAAAAAAAGCATTGATATTTACCTCTTGTATTTTAGCTGTTAATGATCTATCTACATCAGAGTGCTTCTTTCTATGTGTTTTCTATGTGGACACCCTTCCACGTTTCTTCTCTGGATGTTTTTTGTTTGTTATGTATTTCTGGAGGGCTGATGATTCAAACTGTTTGAGGTCAGTGACACTGTGTACACAATGCATTTTAGCACTTTCAGTCATTTTTTTCTAGCCTTTTCCTAATAGAATGATGTAGTCTCTGTTGGCCACCAAGTCCTTGAGGCTACAAAGTAATTTGGCACAAGTCTCAGGGAATAACTCCGAATTTCCCTTTAGAGGTGTTCTTTTCTCAGCACACTTCATTTCTGTCTCACTGAGAAGCCAGTTTATTTTCACTGAGATCTGCAAAACTTTTTAGAGTTCCCTCAGGGAGTAAAATACATAATACACAGAAAAATACGAGTATAGCTGGGACAGAAGGTGGCACGCAACAACACCGTTCAAATATTACTGGTGTGCAAGGAATGATGCTCTGTCAATCTCAGACCACAAAAGGGGTTCAGAAACAAGAATACAATTTCTCTGCAGTAATTCAGCCAGAAAACCAAGAGTAATGGGCTTTTCCCTTCCAAATACAAGCTGGAATCCTCCACCATTGTAGGCTGATGTGGTCTTTGCTGAAGCCCTTTGTCTTCAGGGTGCCATTAGACAGTGTAAAGGTGTTTGGTTCCTAGCACTTAATGAAAAAATAAAGATTAAAGGTTATTTTATCATGTTCCCTGCTCCCTAAAGCACCTGTAGTTATTTGATGGTCTCCATTTCTGGTTAGCCAAAGGAATTAAAGAAGATTGATTATTCCAGTGGGATATCAGAACACTTTTAGGCCGCACGCGTGGAAGAATTGCCTTGTGATTTTCTTTTTATGCAGAGATAGATGCCCTAAGCTCACACTTGGAATCATACTGGGAAAATGAGGCTCCTATTTATCTCTCACTTGAAGACAGTCAAGCTTCAAATAAGTCCATTGCTTTGTGCAGGGCTAAGCAAAGCTCTGGAGGTATGAAGTAGCCTTTTTGCACTGCTTAGTCTGTGCTCTGACTCAGGCATTTTAAGTGGTGGTGCCTCTGAGGAGCTGTAATGAGGTATCATCAGGGCCAGAAGATACTGACATAGAATGTTCTGAATGCAATCAATGTGAACGACTTAAGACAAAAAGCATCATTCACATCCACACACATCCAATTGGCAAAGTCTGCCAATACCCACAGAACAACCCATATAGTTGAATTGTTTCTAACCCACTGAAAATATACAAGGAAGAAAAGAATCTCACATTTTCTTCTAGCATAAAAACACGTGAATTTTTAGAGGCACTATTAGTATTCTGAGCATATGGCAACTACTTGCATTGCCTGGGGAAGTTTTTGGCTTTCCAATAAAAAGCTGTTAAACCAGTAATAGGGGACTGGGTGTATCAAGTGTTTATGAGTCTCCCATATGTAGGCCAGACAGGAACATCTCATATTGACTGTTTTGCAGTATTGTCAACCCATCTGCAGAACTGTCTAGTTGACCCCAGGTATGTGATGGACTTGGCAAGAAGCAATAGTTGGGGGAAGGGAGAAAGTTGAAGAAAGAAAGATGGGTAGAAAAATATAAGGTGAAGAATGTAAATAAGCCTATTCAAATATCATAGAACTGACATCATTACATTTCTTCACTCAAGTCCTTCACTCTCAAACTAATAAACTAATTAGAGAGGTGCATTTTACAACTCCCTCAGTTTTTCAGTTGGTCTGATCAAGCTGGGAACAAGACTCTGAACACGTTTGCAGGGGAAAGTGTTAGTGAAAGGTGTGTTGTTAATTGGAAAGACCCACGTCTTACTGGTGAAGTGGGTTGAGAGGAAATACACTGCAAAGTCAGACTTGTTTTTGCTTTATTTATTTCCCTTCTATTTGGCTCTGGACGGCGTTAAACTTCTCACCCTTTGCAGTACTGTCAGCCTGAACCATACAGACATCTGGTGTGCAAATAAATTGTAGTCCAGGCAAATTGTATCTTGTAGTTAAGTATGTCCATCTCTCCATGTAGCTATCTTACTTTCTTGTTTGCTTCTTCTCTGCTGCCTCCAGCACCTGTCTTTGTAATAAATTACTGGTCTAGCCGCCTTTGATTCATCCTAGAGGGCAAGAACTGGAAGGTTACATTGTGATGACACTCCCATTTCTAACAGCTAGACTCATAAAGCACGCTTTCATTAAAGCATTTCACTTTTTACGATGCAAACCAATCCATCACAGCCAGCCATGGGGTCTTAAGTACATTTTCATTTCTACTAAAAAGGCGCTGACCGTGACAGTATATGGTCAACATATTCTCAAAATGCTTCATGATCTTTAAGTGGCAGAGATGTTTACAATAGCTCATGAAATCACTGACAGCTGTAAATACCACACAAGTCTTCACACTCTCCTGATTACTGAAACAATGATTCTATGTCTGAAAGACATTTAGTTCCAAAAGGTTTTAATTAGCCTGGACAGAATGAGCTTGAAGTTATGTACAGTAGGGGGACAGTTCTAAGTGCCCTTTCAGATTTCCCATTCTTTCACACTTTATTCGTGTGACACAGGTCTACCGAAAAGATCAGTGTTGTGGGTGACCAAAGGTTTCCATTCATTTACCTGTAGGTCCATTGCCAACACCTACAAACACCTGTTAATGGCCATTTCTGGGGAAAAAAGAATCACGTGTAACCATTCTCTCATCTGGTCTTACCCATCTTATTCCTTAAAGACATTTTCCAAAGCTCATGTTTTCCACAGAATAGATTTTCTGTCTTTCAACAAGAGGAGGAGGAGAAATGTATCACATTTAAAACAAGTGTTACGAACAGAGTTCACTTAAACTCATTGGTTCTCTGAAATTAATTCATAAACCAATACTAGATTGCCCTATAAACTGTCTAAACAAAAAGAAAGGGAAAAGATGAATGTATACTTAGATACTAATGGGAAAAATGAAACATAATGATCACATATCTCAGAAACCTAACAAGTGTTCAGATTGCCTTCCATATTCTAAAAAAAGGAGTTAAGAACAAATTTCCAGAAAGTTAAAACACAGTTACTTTGTAGATGCTCACAAGGGGCTCCTATGAAGGATAGGGGGACAAAATATGAATGGAATTGTCTGCAAATGATTAAAAAAAAAAAAAAAAAGGGCTATGGAACCATAAGAACAATCTACCTGCCTTCCAAACACATGTTCGGTGTTGTCTGTGTGCTGGTATGGGTTTTAGCTAAGATATTTCTTTGCAGAAGAAATTCCAGATGGAAAAGTTTTATATAGAAGTTGGTTGTCTTCCTTAATTTGTTTTTCAACTTTTTTCCCTTTGTTTTGTTTTATTAATTTGAAGCCATGGTTGCTGTCAGGCTTACTGCTGGCCCTCCCGCATGCCCAATGCATCATAGCAGTCTTGGCTTGGTTATGCATTCCAGCGGAGCTGGGAAATGGTGAGAGCTGGGTGGTGTGTGCAGGGTAACCAAGAGAAATACGGATTCTTATCAACCTTCCAGATCTTCAAAGCACTGCATGAACTGAGGTTGGTGCTGCTGATTGGTTTGGGAGCAACTCTGAATCATTACTAGCAGAGTTCCTGGCTGGAACCAAGGAAAGTTGGTGAAATTTGTGTGTTTGGAACTGATTATTAATGGAAGAACAGATGGTATCTAATCCAAAGAGGGTAAGCAAGACTTGCCCTGATCTGCCTTTGCTTCAAAACTGCCACTTTTATTGATCGTAACAGCAGAGTAGCTAATGTTTGGTCATGGAGAGTGAACTCTATTTGCTCTTTTTTTTCTTTCTTTTTTCCCCCTCCCTCCCCCCCCCGATGTTCCAAGTTAAGGTCTTGCTGCCAGTGGGTGGAGTGGTGAAAAGTGGTGAAATCTGCATTGCATCTACTATGGCTAAGAAGACCTTTATTTCCAGGACTGTCAACTGAACCTCCCTCACACTACAGACACAACTTTATAAATGCAAAAAAAAAAAAAAAAAAAAAAAAAAAAAAGGAACATTCCAGAATTCATTTATTCATTTCTGAAATGGAGATGTATCCAAAAGAATTGTGCTTTGGGTTGTACAGCCTTTCCAAGGAATCAGAACAAATATCCAGACTTCAACACAAGACCAAGCAGAGTTGCTCAGTCCCTGTGGAGATGAGGTATAGAACTGGAGAATATAAACAGATGTGGAGACATTTTGATGCATTTCTGAAAAAACAAATGACATTTTCTGCTATATTTTAGAGTTCACTCCAGTCCCCTTATCAAAAATATGATGCAAAAAAACAATAGTCACTTCATTTTCATTTCTCAATCTGCCAGGAGAGCAAAGGCACAGTCTTCCAGTAGATGAGGTAACATCAGAGCCTAACAACTGTTGGGAAGGTCTTGAAGAGTTTAAAATGATGAAGAAAAAGGGAAGAATCATCAAGGAACTATGAATCTGAAGGAAATCAACATGATAGTCTAAGATCTTGAAATAACATAACATATATTTTTATTTACTATTGCAGGCAGGTTGATTAGTACCTGAGGAAGATTCTCAGAATCACAAAATTATAGGGGCTGGAAGGGACCTCTGGAGATCATCTACAAGCCAGCACAACACATCTAACTCAATACAGACTAAAAGATTCCACAGAAACAAGAAACTATAGAGTACTGCAGCAGAAATGCTAAGTCACAGCTTGAAACAGTGACTGAGCACCTGGTGAGAAGGCAGGGTCAACCCAAGGGAGCTCAGGTGCACACAATGCCCCTAAGTGACTGAAGTGTGGAGCCAGGATCCACCCCTTCCCAGATCTCATTTAAGGACTGGCAGTGGGGGTAAGGGTATCTCACTGGAGATCCCTGCCTAGTGGTGGTCTTCTGAAGGTAAACCATTTTTCTTCCTTTGTTTCTGTATCCACAGCTGCTGTATTTGGGCTTGCTCTCATTTGTTGCAGCCTTCGATTTTGCTACTCTTCTATTGCTATACTTTCCATTATGTTACAGATACAGAATGTGAAACTTTACTATACTAGTCTTGTCCTCATTCTTCTGTAGGGGAGAACCTGTGAAAGAAGACTGCAGCAGTGAAAGTTTGGGGTATTTTCTGCGTCTCTGGAGCTGACTTCTGTGAGCAGACGAAGGACAAGCAGACAGCACAAGTGTCTATAGCTCGGGGTTTTGAAATGGCAAGGCATACTGTTCAAGGATCTCTCTACCAATTTTAACTAACAAACATGGCGTGCTCTGGCCAATATTATGGACAGCAACAAAGAAGAGTACACTTTGTCTCACCAGTCTCATGGTTACAGCTGTATTTGGCTAAGACCTGTAGGTGGTTATAGACTTTGACTCAGTGGCTGGGCTTGGATGGGAGCCTTCTGGCTTACACTCCTATGCTCCAACCATCTAATCCTTTAGCCCAAAGGAAACTGTGGTGTCCCTGCAGACCATTGGTAAGACACCATAGCTTTGTTGAGTGCTTAGCTTTTGATGGGGGTATTTGAAGGTTTCACAGATAGCATTCAGTGATTCTGATCCCTCTTTCTACTTGGAGGCTGCCAAAGGATGGCAGCAAAGTGACATGTGTTAGAGGGACATCAAGGTGTGAATAAAGGGGCATGTGCAACAGGAAAAGTGCTGCAATAGCTGTTGCTGAGAAGGAAAAGCATTCCATCCTGGAAAGCCAACTATATGGAATCCAGTCTCTTCTGCAGTTTGGTGCTGATAAAAATGCTGCACTAGCATCTCTGCGATATGATACTCCAAAGCAAGAATATGGTTTGTTATTACATCTGTGGCCAGCAGGACTTCGTGGTGGTGGTGGAGACATCCTCAGCTATGGCTGAATGTTTAGTTTCCATGCCCCTTCTGTCTTAGGATGACAGTCAGCAATAATTACTTCAGTGGTTTCTACCCTGTAATTCTTAGCCTCTAGGGACTATACACAGATCCAGAAACTCATTCCATGCAAGCCCCTTCTAACAGGATGATGACTTCTAGTCTCTGCTGGACTTGATCTAGATTCACGTGGGAAAACTAGAGAAGCAATGACAGTTTGCTGGAGCAGCCTTTGCCAGGCCAGATTTCTGTAATGAGCTATCTGCATTTGGAAACAACCCTGAACTGACAGAGAAAGAAACATAATAATCAATCTGAGGCATATGATTTAATAAACTACTGGCCACAAGATCTAGATAGAAGAGGAAAATTGGTCAGTAATGACAACTGTTATGTATGGGAGTGTTAAGAATACCACCTGGACCACCAGAAGATGGGCATGTCCTTTAATTCTGTTGCAAATTTCTGATATCTAAGCATGCTTTTCTGCAGGACAAGAGAAGGGGCAATTTCATTTATTTGTTTTGTTTAACAGAACTTTTGTTTCTGACATAATCTTTACACTTGTTTCTCTAGCTAAGTCTCTCTTTTTTTTTTTTTCTCTCTCTCTTTTTCTTTTCTTTTCTTTCCCTGGTGTTTGCATGAACTCTGTGAACCCTCATCACGTGTGGCAGTGTTTATATTTGCACAGGCTGTTCTGTGTGTCTCTGTTTGTGTTGCCACCACATCTACATGGTTTGGCGGCAGCCCCACGGCTGTGTTTCAGCTGCATATAAATCAGCTTCCCTCCATCCCCCTGTGTTTCCATCTGTCTGTCTTCCCTGATTGCTCTGATATGTTACAGGGCATGGAGGTTAGCCCATAGCTGAACCCTTCAGACAGAAATGGTACAAAACCAAACCTGAGTTTCTCCTCCTCAAATCTAACTCATCAATCTATGGAGGTGTGGAGTGTTAATGTTTTTGCAGTGACAAATCTCAAAGCAGGGACTAACCTCTGCTTCTGTAGTTTTCAGGTCTGTTTCTCCCAAAGCACTTGTACAGAAGCTCTAAGGTCACCTCTGTGTTGTGGAGCTAATCCTTACTTAGCTTTTCATTACATGAAGATCTCCCTTTACTCACACAAATTTAATTTCTGCTCTGTCATTAATTATTACCTCCAATTTGATTGCTTCACATCTCATTAATTCATTTCTTTCTCTGGAGAAGGGGAATGACTGGAAGCATGGGGAATTGGAGGCATGTAATCAGGGAGCAGGATGTTAGGCAGAAATCACAGACCTTGATACTCTCCTTGCACAGAGATGTTTCTCTAGGAATCTCCTCCCAGACTGAGTTCATAATGGGGTTAATCACATATGAGGTTGATTGAATTGCTATGAGCCCTAGAGATAAACTTCTAGCTCAGAGTGTCTGTGTGATTTACTCTTGGCCATGTCTCTTCTCTTGCAGAATAGATGCCCCAGGGGAACAGAAGATTGAGCATGCTGCCCTTCAGCCATTGGCACTAATTTGCCAACTTAGTAGAGATGACAAAAGATGAAGTGGGGAGTCCACACCCATCTCAGGTAAAAGAATTGCCTGTTTCAAGATAACTGGAAAACACTGATAGGACAAAATAGATGGGAGAAGAACAAGACTACTTTGTTGTCTTGTGGACTTCAGTCAAAGAACTAGATCAATGTTTTCTCACCATAGGTGGGTTTGATATTCTGCCTTCTCTTTGAGCATAAAGCAGAAAACAAATGCTTCCCTTTAACCTGTAAATGCTAGGAGGACTTTGTATGGACACGCTTATTTTAGAAGGAAGAAAGTTCAGAGTCACTGTAGACTAAGTTAGAAAAAGAGGAGATAAATTGAATTGGCTTCCCAAACCACCCAGATTGTACTCCACAAAGGAGTCTGTGTATTCTTACCAAGGTCAATTGATTTAAAATAATAATAATAATTAACAAAAATCTTTGATTGTGGATTCTCGTCTCTTTCTAACCTTATCTTAAATAAGGAGATATCTGGGTTGGTGCTCTATTTTGCCTAGTACATTAGCTCTGAATTTGAAACTTTAAGAAAACTGTGAAATTGGATTAGTTTCCAGGGAATTATTTGTAATGCCTATTCTGTTATAGAAAGAAATCTCTTTTAAAAACATGATTCATTGTTCTAGTAGTACTTTGCTACCAAACTTTTGCTGAGGTGTGGGGGTGGCTGTTATTTCATTTTTGAGAGTAACTTCATTTAGAAATTCAGAAAGGGTGGATAACTGAGATATGAAAGTCCTCTTCTTCTGCTTTCTATCTGAACGAGGGAAAGAATTCTAGTATTTTTTTCAGTATTGCTGATGACCCAGACACATCTGAGTAAATGTCATGTAAAATCAGTATCTATCCATGGGAATCTCATAGAACCAGAGTGGTTTTAATGTTCACTGGAATATTTCTGTGGAAGTTGCTAGGATGCCAGGGAAAGCATTGACTGACCACAGAAAACAGATATGAGACAAATGCATTATGACTTTTTTTTTTTTTTAAGGAAAAAATGTATTAAGGATCCAACTGAGAACTATACTGACATAACTATAGTTACTTTTGGTCACTGTTAAGTCTATGTTTTCCAATCTGTTAACTCCACAAGAATAGGATGTAACTACAGTATGGAACTGAGTCAGATTGGATTCAGCATTTAAGGAGCAGAAGAAAAGCAATGAGGTGTCAAAAGATGTAAGTAGGTTAGATCACAATGAGGAGATAGCCTTCCCATCTGCTAGGAGCTCCTTTGCAAGGTAAGACTGTTAGATATACAAGTCCCTGGCTGGGACTGATGAAGAGGATATAACCATGGAAACTAACAGAGCTATACTATGATTGAGTAGGGGATGAGGGAAGCATTCCATATAAAAGGGATCCTGAGGTCTCTGCTGAGGTGCCAAGATTAAAGATTTTGCCAGGGATCGAAATGGAATTGATTTGTGTCCCTCAGACTAACTCCAGGAACCTCACTCCTGCCTGAGAGCATTAGTCCACATGCAGAGGCTTTTCAGCTGGAGACAAGTTTATGGCTTTTGACTTTTTCATGTTCATGCATTTTATAAAGCCACAATATATATATATATTTTTTTATTAGGCTTTTATAGAAAGATCTCTTAAGTCTAGCAAAATTTCAGTAGAGATTGTGCTAGAGGGACATGTAAGAAGGGAGAGAAAATAGGAAGACCTTGGGAGAAATGGGTAAATATAGAAGTCCAAGCAGAGCTCTGTCAAAGCAAGTTTCTGGCTTACACACTTAATTTTATCCATCCGGGGCAAGTCTACAGCGTGATTAACCTCCTAGATCTCACTTGGTCAGATAATGCTTGGACCTGGAACAGAGTGCAATGCCAATCCACAATGCCAGCTATCCCACCAGTGGCATCTCTATGTCAGCATTGCTGTGGCCCAGAAATGAGGGGAGGGTGATTGGAATTCAGTGCTGCAGATAGTGAAACACCTTCCAAACCAGAAGAGGTTGCTCTGTGTTCCAGTATTACTGATGGTAAAGGTACTGCCCCTGGTGGGATATGCTGTCTTTGCTGGGGTATGCATTAATATCCACTATGCTTAGCAAGGAATTTCCCCTCTCCTGCAGAGTTTGGCAGCTGCCATTGGATTCTTTCTTCCTCAATCTTAGGTCCCACAGTTCCTGTTCAGAGGAGCTGGGCTGTTCTCTGACACTCCTGGTCTGCAGTCTGAAAGTCTCTTTCAGCTCAAATGTGGGACCACTGGTAGGGTGTCGATACATACATCCTCCCTGTGCAGTGATACATCAGCAGGAGGTGACCTCGCTTCAGGGAAGCAAACACCAGTTTAGCTGGGTTATTGAAGCCAAAATCCTATGAAACTGAATTTTCTCTGAGAATAGTCCCTACAGCACTCACATAGTTGCATACAACTGTTTCAAACTCTTCCCAAGGACCTGACAGTAATGCAATCCCTTGTGGAATAACACACATGCAATGTGGGGATCTGGTGTGTAATTTTTATTTTGTGTCCTTCTCACAGCAGGAAATGTTGGGTGAAATGTTCTGGTCCTCCAAAGAAATGGACCACGCAGCATGGGATGGCAGCCCCTTCATGATCCCTAAGACTTTGGTGCAGGGATCAGCGAAAGGAAGGATGCCAGAGAAAGAGTATGAGATTACCTCTCAGCAAAACCCTTTGGCCTGAATCACTGACATCTTTGATTTAAACAGTAATTTAAAACACGCATGATGAGAAGTCAGGGAAGGGATCCAGGAAGGCCTGGGGTCCAGCCAACCTGGTGTGTCTGCCAATTTGCTGTTCTGAAGGTAGGCTTGCTAGGAAGGGGCAGGACCATATCTGAAACCTGTCACAGCCTCAGCTAAATCACAAGACCCTTTCTCAGAAAAGATCAGTGACTGTATGGCTGTACTAGCACTGCTTTGATGGATACCTACAGCCCTAGTCTTTAGCTCAGCTGCACCAAAGCAGTATATAGAGGAGTCTGGGGGAAAACCTTGACATATTCTTTGCAGCTGATCAGATGTAAGACATGGATACCCTTAAGGTAGGTTCAGTGATGTAGCTTGAGAATGAGGAAGGCATGCAGGAGCAGAAAGGAAGAAATATGGATGAAGTAAAGGAAAAGAGGAGAACATCAGGACATATATGTCAGACAGGTTCTTTCCACTCTCATCTCTCCCATACCACTGGCTTTCCTGAATGATATTACTGGCATCTGGTTCTTCTCATGAGGAAGCAAGGGAAAGCAGGGGAAATCCATATTAGCTAGTCCTAATTGCTTGGTTTCAACAGGAGTGCATGACTCGAAAGAAAGGTCTCCCAGGTTGAATGCTACTGCAGAACTGATTCAAGCCCATTGCCACTGGGATCCCAGATTTAGAATATCAGCAAATTCACCGTGGTGAAGGGAGAAGAGAGTTTTGCTCCAGCTGTGAATCCAGACTGTGGCTCACTGTGAGTGTCTGGTGACTAGCTGCCTTTTTGGTTCAGACACAAAAGATTATTCTCACATAAATTATCTTCTTCCCTGCTGGGCAATTTCAATTTCCGTTCTGATATTCCTTGTGTCACCTTTCTCCTCTCTCTCTCAGGTCAGGTTCAGGTTCAGGTTGGAAACCTATTGCTCAGAAGGAGCAGATGGAAAAAGAGGTGTCTTTGACTTTGAATCTGATTCTGTATGATCATGGCTCAGTGATCATACATCCTCCGGGGCCTGAAACCTACCAAGAGAATAAAGGAGGAAGTGCACTGTCTCTCTCAGATCAAAGTATAAAGAAAAGTTGAGATGTAAAGGAGACAAAATGAGCTGCAGGGTATGCAAAAATCAGAGCTCCCATACAGCTTGCTGAAGACTGCCAAAATAGGGTTCTCCACAGCCATCCCATACCTACGCAATACAGTGATGGGAGCGTTTTTAGATAAGATCAGACCCAGAAAGAACATGCCTGGCTCTGTTTCTTGCAGCGGAACAATATGGAAACCCACTGCTGGGAAACCGTTTTTCCAAGCCAGAGAAGAGGCAGGGAATTGTTCTGTGCAACCACTCAGGAGCCTCCGCTCCCACGCATTCTCCTGCTTGCTGACACCCTGCCAGGACCGCAAAGGAGGAATTGATTTACATGCAGTAAGTCAACTAAATAAATAACTAAATAAAGCCCTTCCTACCTTGCTCAGCTAAAGAAAGGGAGGGACCAAGATCAAATTCAGGGGGAAGTCCTCTGCAGGTGTGCTGCTCCTGCCCAGAACTGGGTACGGGATGCTGACAGCACCGGTAAATGTAATATTTATTCCGCGGGAGGGAATTTTGGACTGCTCTTTGTAAGGCTTGTCACTCACTGTCTTCTATTCTTGCCACTGATCTCTGTGTTGTTTGAGACCCCTAGGCTCAGACAGCATTTGGTGGCTTCAGCAAATGTGTCCCAATTGTATTAGTTCTTTTTTTGGTGAGTTAGTTTCTAAAAAGCCCAGATTCACTTCAGGCAGATACCCCTTTGGCCTGAAGCACGTGCTCTCCTGTTGGGGCCAGTGTCAAATTGCTTGGAGAAAGAGAATACATAAGAAGGTTATAGCAATAGCCTTTCTCACTCTAGATCCCATTCCCCTCTCTTCCTACTAGTCTGCTCCTTCCTGTGAAGTGTGGCCTGTAGATCACTGTGTTTAATAGGTGCTGTCCTCTATGACTACCTCCCTTTCCTTCTTCTGGCCTCCTCAGCATTTATTGACAAAGGCTCTTCTCATGAGAAGTTCATGAGAAGTGTGGGTAATGTGAAGAAATACCACTGCACTTTAAAGCTTGCTCCTTTGAGCCAGACTGACCATCCCTGTTTGGGAGCAGGTCGCCCACAACCATGCACCATTCCTTCACACTTTGTCATGCCCTCAACTGCCCACACAGCTGCAGAAATGCAGGGTATAGGTTTGTAGGCCATGATGTGTTCTTGTGAATTATCTCCCAATAAAACAGAGATCGGGTGATTGAGATAGCACTGCTAGGAATTAAAGAGTGAGCTCAGGCCCTGGAACTGCCCTGCTCCCCAGACACTTGGGTTTCCTGGGGGCATTCAGCTCCCACTCTATTTAAATACAAATGACCTTTTCTTCTGCACACCACTACTACCAGAACAGGGTCATCCAAGAGAACAGTTGTTTCACTTTTTCATAAAATTTTCTCAACTGCCATTTTGATGGAGCTAGAGTTCTACTTCTCCTGCTACCATGCTGCCATAGGCATTAAGACAGGAGCTGGGGAGAGAGTCAAGTTAAAGAAATTTTCATGTACCAGGTAGTTCAGTTTAAGGCAACAATCAATAGCAAATTACAGCTGGAATAAAGATGAGGGTAGCTCTACTTGCTTTAATACGCGTTATGGGGGCTACATAAGGTTAAGCTTCCCTAACCTTCAGAGAAAGGAGGCAGAAATGTTCTTTTCTGTCTGTTCTTATGCCAGCATTTTCCTGCCTTTTCCTAGAGCAGCAGGCATGCTGCTCTTTAATTCCAGCAAAGGATAGGAGCCAGCCCCCAAGATACCTGCACCCAGAAATTGCCACAAGAGCAAAAGAATAATTTAAAAAAACCAAAACCAAACAAAACTTTCTTTTTTTTTTAAAGTACAAAAGCTATAGATAAAATGTATGGCTTCAACAGATACAGCTTTCTTGTACCTCTCTTTGTTTCACACTATTAACCCTGTCCCCTCTCTCCTTGCTAACATCTCTGCCCCTCCCACAGGCCTGTTGCTCTTTGCTCAAACTGACCAGACAGCTGAAATGGAGAAATTAAACCACGAGCAAGTGTTTCCCACCTGTGTGCAGCTGAACATGGTGCACTTTGGTTTCAGTTCTGACAAAGTGCCGATGAGCCTGACAGTGCATCTGTTTTTCTAACTCTCACAGTCTGAGAGATATTCTCTCTCTTTGAAAACCCCACTTCTAATAAAAATAATTCATTCTACCACTGAGTGAAACCTCAAAATGTCCAAATTCCCTGTAAGTGGGTTTCTGACCTTTCAATGTGAAAGATGAGCTGGCACACTTCCCTGGGAAACCTTGCTTTGACAAAGCCAACCTGTTCCCGCAGGACCTCCCCAATCTGTCCAGGGCTCTTTGCAGCCAAAAAGCCCCTCTTGCCCCTTCCAACCCTCTCCATTTCAGCATTACTGAAACAGAAGGATCCCTTCTTGCTTTCAGAGGGGAAATGAAACCAACATTAGCCTATTTACAGAAAAGCTTCATGGGAATGTTCAGACCAAGAACAAATGCCAAACAGGGTTGGTGTAAGCTTTTCCAAGCAGCAAAAATCATAAACGTGGCCTTGAAAAAAAACAAAAAACAAAAAACAAAAAAGAGAAAGTAAAGAGGGAAGATTAAAAAAAAAAAAAAAAAAAAGAGAAAGTAAAGAGGGAAGATTAAAAAAAAAAAAAGCTAGGCAGGTGCTATTTCAGCAGCTTTTCCAACTCAGCACTTTTCTTTTGAGCCTTTCCAGTACTGCTGTTTGCTGAGCCCTCTGGGCTGGGCTGCAGGGCAGGCCAGAAAGGACATGTACAGGCACCGAATGGCTTCTAACCTCCTGGCACGCTCCCAGGGGGGCTTCTTGTTTGCACTACCACATCTGTTAGAAATTCTGGCACATCTCAGCCTGAGAAATATGGTTTGTGGTGTCATGGCAACCCTTTTTTTCTTGATCTGACAGGCCAGGCACTGGAAGAGCTGCTTGCAGATCTGGCTGCAATAGGTAGAAAGATCCTGAGGCTGCTGATCATACATAGAACCACAGAATCATTTCATTTGGAAGAGACCCTTAAAGATCATCTGGTCCAACACCCCTGCAATGAACAGGGAAACCTACTGCTTAATCAGAGTGCATAAAACCTGGTTCAGCCTGACCCTGAGTGTCTCCAGGGATGGGGCATCCACTACATCTCTGGGCAACCTGTTCTTACATACAACCTGTGTTTTTTTTCTTCTAGCTTGCTACCTCCTACCCTACCATACCTTAAAATCACAGTACTTGTGGCCAAGGGCTAGTTTAGATAGGCAGATGAGACCATCAAACCTGCTGTTGAAATTTTAGAGATGTCAAGCTGGGCCCACTACCCCTGAGCCACAAAATGCAAAGACAAAACCCTCTTGGGGTCAGCAATTTCCATCTCTGCTCTTGCAACAAGAATATTTACTTAGTGATACTTCAATAGCTGAAGCAAAGCTACATGATATATGAAGACAGAATCTCTTAGCAGGATCTGCTGTGATAGGACAAGGGAAAATGTTTCAAACTAAAAGACAGGAGATTCAGAGAGGATATAAGGAAAAGGCTTTTTACAATAAGGGTGGTGAGGCACTGGCACAAGTTGCCCAGAGAGCTGATGGGTGCCCTGTTCCTGGAGGGACCCAAGGTCAAGCTGGAGGAGCCCTGAGCACTTGATGGAGCTGCTGTAGGCATCCCAGTTCACTGCAGTGAAGTTGGACCCAATAGTCTTTAAGTGGCCCTTCCAACTCAAACGATTCTGTGATTCTATGACCAGAGGGTAGATAGGGAAATTACTTCAACACTGTAATTGTTAATATATTCTCTAAATTCAGGCTGCCAATCCAGGCTGGGAAGTGGTGCTAATTAACACCCAGTTGTTGGTATAAAATATATCTGGTGGGTCTCCTAACCAAAGCCATGCAAATCACTCATTTCTCAGTTGTGCCTGTGCCATGCAGCAGAGCCAGAGAGCAGAGCCAGAGAGCCGAGGCCAGGCTCTCCTGCAAGTGCTCACCAGTGTGTGACACTTCCATGATGCAGCATCAGCTGGAATGTAAACGTCTGGCAAAGACAAAGGGAACAAAGCCACCTGAATCTTTTCCTCTGGACAGGAGCCTGGCAGCAACCACAGGAATGTTCCTTGAAGCAAATGATACCATAGAGAATGGATGAAGTCCTTGACACCAACACCTGACTTAAAGCTTGAGGCCCTGCACAAAAAGCATTGCATAGGGGGTATGAAAGGACAGCAAGCACCTAAGGGAGGCATTTCTGAATATTGGGAATCAGCAGGCAATATCCCTGCAGGCAAGCACACAGCCTTCCTGCAGAAACCAGCTTCCTTGTGTGACTTTCTTTTGCTCTCCTGCCGGTATGCAAATTATGGTTAAGTGTTGTGACTCTGAACAGTAGTAGACTAATCCGAAAGCACCACATTTGTTGTATGGCTGACAAGTAGGTCAGAATCAGGTTATCCCCAAGAAAGAAATGGACTTGGCTTGGCAAAGAGGAATGAGTACTTGCAGGGCTGTTAAAAACTTGTGCTTCCCCAAAGAAAAGCATTAGCAAGCAGGGAAAGTACAGCAGTGGATCCAATTAAAAACACACGCGGAGACAAAAAGAGAGAAAAAAGAAACCAGATTTGTTCAAAATTCCTTAAAAAATATACAAGGGGAGAATCCAGACTTGTTTGCCATAAATGAAGAGGCAATCACAGTACAACACAGGTGTCCAGGCCCAGAGGGAAGGCAGGGGAGAGGGCAGCCAGGCAGCAGAGAGAATAATTACAGACTGCACTGAGGGTATCTGCACTTACTTTGGGATATTAGTCCAGCTTTGTTATGAGGACTCCACTTGGAGGCATGCCATGGAAGAAACACTGAAGAAATTTTGGCTACTGCTACCCACTCGGGTGAAAGGAGTTGGAGTCTCTCCTGCTCTGACACCAGTCTTGAGGTTAGAGCATAGCCCGGTAAGACTGTGCCTCAATTTCTCCAAGTTTCTCTTCCTACAGTACTGCTCATTATCAGCTTTGCCAGATGCTCTTGAAATCTCTGCAAGGAAAGCAAACTTCAGTAGGAAAGATACCATTTTGAATTTGTTCTAACAGCCACTGTTCTGATCTTTGATGGAAGAATTTCCTAAAGAGGCACTACCTTCTGTTCTGATCATCCCAAAGACTTCACAAAGCCACCAGTGATTCATGGGTACCAAGATGCTTGCTAAGGAGAGCTGATTACATGCGTTAAAAAAAAAAACAAAAAAAACTCCCAAACTTTGTTCAAAGCAAGTCCCTCTCCAGTGATTTGGCACAATGCAGACCTAGCAAATTTCTTTGCTTTAACTCTGCTTGTATATGTCATGCTTCTCTATAAAAGCATTGTTTTAAAATTGATTGGTAGCTATTTAGGAACAAGGTTTCTTGCTGCCTTGGTGATAATGAATCATCAGCACATTGAGCTTGGTTGGGTCTTCCTTAAACCACTGGTAAAAGGAAGAACTTAAGAAGAAAGTACAAATGTACTCCAGGTTACTCGCATGAACTGGGGTTCATGTGTGGGACACCCCAATCTAATGGTAGGATTGCTACCGTAAGGAATGGTCTCATCTGTGCACTTCAGATCATTTACATGCTTTCTAGAATAACAGACTTTTAAGTGAGGAAAGTTAGGATCAAATGGAAGTTGTTCTGTGTGCAAATATGCCACTGAGAGATGAGAGTGAGTAGAGAATAGGCATTGACTGACCTCTCCTAAATAGCATAAGATCAAGTCTTAAGAGTCCTCACTGAATACAGAGGAAGTAGAGGATTTTGCATAGAGAAAAAATTTGGCCATCTCCTTGATTCGTTTGGACGCAAGAAAGGACTTACCCAGCTTTATTTTAGCTGTCTGTGATATGGAGGATACATCTAAACTAGCCCCTCCAGCTCCTATAATCTGTATGAATGTAGGCAGTTACTTTCAGATGTGGTGATCCATGCCCAAGCCTCCACTGATTACATCTGAGTGAGCTGTAGAGAACGCTTAACATGATTAATTGAGATGGGTCTGTCAGCACCCCATCAGATGAGTCCTGTTCAAAATCTGTCAGTCCTTGGGCAGCAAGCCAGTGCCATCCTACCACCAGCTAGGGTTGCAGCTTAGGCCAGGACTGTGATGTAGCTTCAGGATGCCCTGCATTGTGGTCAGGGCAGAGCTGGAGCAAGGATGGAGAGAGAGGGGTATGCCCAAAAAAGGAGTTAAATGTGACCCAAGCCTTCATCTGCCAGTGCTGTCATCAGAGAACAGGAGTTGTACTTCTAAGCCAGGAGGTATTTCTGGGAGCTGGATGTAGCTTGGGATAGGGCAGTGCTCTAGGGAGAGCTGTGAATGGAAGGGGAACCATCTGCTTATGCCTTAGGGATTGGGAATCTTAACCAGCTCATTTGCAAGATAATTTTTTCTTCTGAACTTACCTGACATCAGCCACTCTCAAGATACTTACAAGGTACTTGGCTAGAAAAAGCACAGGTGTGTTCTAGTGCAGCTGTGCCCATCCTGCTCATTTAGGGGCTTGGAAGGGTTTCCAAGAAGAAAGCTGTTTGCTCTGGGACAGGAGAGATTGATGAAAGTGGGGAGAGGGTTGACACTGAGGGCTTGTATGGTCCAAGCTGAGCTGGGAGTCAGCAGGATTGTGGGGTTTCCAAGCTCCTGAATCAGCTTTTAACCTTTGGCAAGTCACCGACCTGAGTCAGAGCAGCTGGAAAGTTAAAAACTTAGTATGGCAGGAAAGGAAGAGATGCTGCACTGAGCTGATCCATTGTCTCTGTATTCAGGCAAAATTTAGTTGAAAGGTACATATGTCCTGAACTGACATGCCTTTGTCAGGAAATAGTGTGACTTAAGATCAGCCCCCTCTTGCTGCTCTGAAGTAATATAAGGAATGAGAAGATAAATGGACTCCCATTAGTTCTGTGATTAAGACATATGCAATTTAATGAAGTGGAAATCTTGATGGATTTGTTTCTGACTCTCCAGTTAGGAATTCTTATGGGGAGATAGGAGAAATACCAAGGAGAGGTTAGATTAGTTTTTGCAGCCTTTCTTTTAATTAGGTTTTAGAGAAGAATGGTCTGTTAAGAAGGGGTGGGGTTGGAAGTGCAGTAGAGGGAATAAACCAAGGTCAGAGATTTTGTCTATGCTATTGCTTTTTCTTACACAGAGTGGGGCAGGATGCCATTCCCATACTTTAACTGTAAAATAAGGCAACCATATTTGCTTGGAAAAGTTTTGATACTGTCTACTCACATCCATATTGTAATATAATCCAGATAATTCATGAAGTCCAGTCACGTGGATGCTCTGAGGCCACTGCAAGGAGAAATCAAAATCTCTAGAGACCTCTGGATAGAAGATAAGAATTTCTTTTCTCCTATTTTTTTCTTCTGTCAGGCTCTGAACAAGCAAGAACAGAAAGCTGGCCTTCCTACAGACATATTTCCCCTGCTATCTTCCAGCTCTAAGTGAAGGTTTGGGTTAGATTATATTTGATTAATTCTCTTACCTTGGATTGTATGGGAATGTCACTAAGCAATATGGTCCTGAACACTGTTGAACTCTCCCTTTTTGCTGCTCCTCACATCAAGTCTAGTTGTGTTGAAGATGAGAAGTTACATCTCTCTGCAAACTAAAATAATTCTCAATTAGTGTTGGTCACCTGCAAGGCTTGGAATAGGAGGCACAGTGATTCAGTGAAACTTATTGTTCAGTACAGCTCATATATAGTGTACAGTACAGCTCATATATAGTGTACTGCATAGGTATAGTGTTTCCAATTAGGTCTGATAGTAAAAGAAGATTCATGGACTATCTCAGGTATTAGCAGAAAAATGCTGGCCCCAAAATGTTGAGGGCACTGGCCCAGAGAGTGGGAGAGACATCTCCAGGCTCCCTCAGTTCCACTGAGTTCTTTAACCACATGGCTTTCATTAAGAAGCCCTTAAGGCAAGTGTTTGGCCTTTCCTTCTCCACTGACCCTTTAAACAGTTAACAGCACTCTATATCTTCCCTGCAGCAGAAGCAATTCCCAGACACTGAAGCATTTTCATTGCAAAACACAGCTTGGGATTCTGGACTCGGTTATTTGTTTGGAAGATGTAGACAAAATGAAAGTGTAGCAAACTCATACCAGATTGGATCCACTTCAGAAGCTGCCAAACAGCTGCCAGTGCTGTTGGGTCAGAAGACCTTGCCAGGCTGATCCCTGGGGCAGGGGGTAGGTTTTAGTGGAGGAACCTGGGATTTGGAGATGAACTGTACAGTTAGTCTGGAACAGAATATGCTGTCTACTGCATTTTTCCACCTGCAAGAATATAAACATGCCCCCTGTCCCCTTTCCATGCTGAAACGCAGCTGATCTAGAGCACCTCCACAGCAAAAACACCACTGGGCATTTTGCAGTTATTGCAGCATCACTTCAGACGAAAAAACATACACAAGTCCCTAAGCAGAAGAAAAAGAAGAGAAAGGAAGAAAAAGTTTGCAGGGTGCTGTGTAGCTCAGCTCAGTGCTCTGGTGAGAGACAGGGCTGTGGGTCACCTCTTTCAGTCCCATCCTGAACAGAAACATTGGAGAGCGAGTGGAAGCTGCTGGTAAGAGGGAAGGTCTTGCAGGCCTGGGTGAGCAGACTTCCTACCTTACTAAATGATGCTGATGTTGGCTTTTGCAGTACAGGCTGTAAAAGTAAACTGTTGGAGAGCATCTGAGATGTCCGGTCAGCGGGTGGTCCATGGCTACAGCACAGTGCTCTTGTACTGCTCCTGGAGAGACAGATGGAAAGGTAGAGAAAGGAAAGGGAGGGAGAGAGATCCAGCTCAAGCAGTTTGGCATATTATCCCAAAATGAGTTAAGAAGAAAGAAAAAAGCTGAGAGCAGTACAGAGGTTCAAAACCCTCTGTAAAGAAATGTAAAGAAAGAGGAGATCTTTATTTGCTGGCTTTAGATCTGAAAGGAGTTTTATTTCATTGCTAAAACATACAAAAGACAGGGAAGCATCTTCCTCTCTTTAGGGGCTTATGAGAGCTCACCTTGTAAATCTGCCTGCTCAGAAAGGTACAAACTTTTCCATATGTTGTTGGTAATGTATGTCAGCTTCTGGTCACGTGTTTGTTTGGAAGGGAGCTCTCTCTCTGTTATCAGAGATTAAACAGAGACAGAGAAGTCTAACAGAAGCAAGATTAAACTACAGCGCAAAAGGGGTTGGAAAGAAGTTCCTTGGGGACTGCTTGAAATTTTCCACTAGAATCTTCTTCAGTGGAAAATTTGCCTTTTAATAAAAGCAGAATTGCTTTGTGTCAAGTTATGACCAGTCTGGGGATTCAACTGGGAAATCTTCAGACAGTGTCTCCTAGAGGCTGTCACTGAAAATCGTTGTGACCCATCCAGTTCTTACGGTGGGCTTGCCACACGAACTGTGTTTCTCACAAAGCACCACGGTGATACAACTTCCATGGCACATGGCATTGTCTCAGCAAGAGGGGGGACAACACTGCATCATGAGAGATGTGGGCAAGGCAGGAATGTCAGCTCACAGGGAAGGACACGGACACAAAGCATACCAGCTACAACTCCCACAGGGGAGCATTTCTGAACTGAAATGGAGGGCTCTTGGCCAAACATTTTCATTGTTTGGTAAAATCTCAACATTTTCCACAGGAAAAGAAAACAAAAACACAATGCAAAAAAGCCAGCATTTTTCAGCCCAGATTTATCCAGCCAAGGTTTAAGAAACTACCCTCTACTCCCCAACTAGGACTGGGTTGCTATTAAGATCCACAAAAATTGAGGGTGGGAACCAGATATTGCCCAGGACTAATCAGACCATTAGTCTACGAGCATAGGGAAAGCCCATCCATGTGTGGTTCTGGCTTGGACTGGTGACTTCCAAGTAATGCCAGACCATATAAGGCAGAGGCAGGCAAAATCTTGCCTATTTAAAGGATTAAGCAAGTATTGAGCATGAACAGTTAATACTACAAATTCTCAGCAATCAAAGAGTGACCAAGGGAAAAAGGAAGGTATGGGTTTTGTGTCTGTGAGCAGCAAGGAGATACAATACCCACCTTACACGCAGGCTCAGTTTCAAGTTTCTGTTGAACAGCATCTGATACCTCCTTTTCCACAGGTGAATTACCAGACAGACAATAGAGACAAGTTGGCTAAGTATGCGAACATGTTCAATGGGAACGTGCTGGCTATGGGAGGGAGGGGAAAGGTGGAGGAAGGCTTTACTAGTAAGCAATCTTTTCATGTTTTACTTATCTGCATTGCAGGTAAGCTTGTTACTTGATAAATGGAGACCATGCCCTTGGAATTCTTCACAAAAGATTATATTTTCTACAGCCATTTACAATTACACCAGCATTGTGCCATTTCACTCTCCTTGGGCTGGGTGCATACTGCAGTGTATTTTCCTTCAGCTCAGCTTAAGTAATGAGTTTTCTCTTTTCCTCTTTTTTTTTTTTTTTTTTTTTTTTTCCTCCTTCCTCCCTCCCTTTTTATTCTAACAGGGGGAAAAAAAAAAAAAAAAAAAAAAAAAAAAAATCAAAGACTGAAGCAGATAATTTTTTGAGTGTCAATGTCAAGTTGCATCCCCCACCAAAAACCACCACCTGAAACAAAGCTTTGCCAAAAGTTACGTAATGTTCAGGCCTGATTCTAAGAATTAGGACTTATGCCAAGAATGATAAAGTTGCCTTTAACTCTCCCCCCACCAAACAAATACTTAAGTGTCTCCTGGAAGATTACTCTCAAGAGACTTAATTTCAATACTGACAAAATAGAAGGTGGAGAGGTAGTGCTATGTATGACTGAAAGCCTTCCACCTGAACTGCCAGAAACCAGATAAGTGCCCCCTTGAAAGCACAAGCAAGGGAAAAAGGTAGAAATAGAGCCAAAATACAGGGAAGAGTAAGTAAATATTTATGCCAGTGTCCTGCAGATTTTTTGGTGTGTTTTTAGTCTCTGGTTGGTGATGAAGAAACTCGGTAGATGTGGACATGCTAGATATCAGAAAGGATTCATGTAGGCAACATACAGATAAATTTATTCCATATGAGATACCACCAGAAATCTTGTGAATTTTTTTTTTTTCCCAACAGTACTCATAGGTCAGTTAATCACAGTGGAGGTCCCCGGCTGCACTGAGTGAGGACCTAAAAGATAAAGGGCAGCCAGAAAAAAATAAAAGCACTGACAGCTGTTGAAGCAGAAAGCCCTCATCTCCAGCTCTGAAAGTCCGGAAGCTGCAGTTTGCTCACAGAATGAAACACTCCCTACTCACCCGGTTCATAATCTTTCCCCTTCACATCTGCCACTAACTGCTGTCAGCAATGGTGTTGTGGAATAGAGGAATCCAGTCTGATATGGCTTGTCTGTTCAGATCTCCCTACTAAAAACACTCTGCAGTTTACTAAAAACACTGTGCAGTTTGCAACAGCTAGCAATGTATGACAGTCACAGGTGCTTTAGAAACAAATTGACTATCCATGTGACCAACCAGAAATACCTCTCCAATCTGCTCCAGAAAACAGAATATTATGCCAGATAGTCTGCATTCAAGGTCTCATCTCTACTGTGCCATTAAGACATTAAAAAAAACAGTGATTTTCATTGTTTCTTTGGGGAGACTCCTCAGCAGAGCTCTTGTCACCATAAGGCATGTTTCCTTGGTCTTCAACTTCTTCAGTATATCTAATGGCTCTATAGCCTCAGAGCAGTTCAATGCTTCTCTCTTCTTTTTCAGCCAAACTGACAGGTGGCACCTTATGCAGCACAGTTGTCACTGAACGACTCTGAAATCCTGCCTTTCCTGCAACTCAAGGCGGGATTGTAGCTCCAGCTGAACAGACCTCAGAGAATCAAGCTCTTGGGGTCCTACTTTGCCAGTCTCCCAGCTGAATCCCCTTACATTGCACTTATACTCTTAGGAATAAAGCTAGTTGAAGTGTGACTTCTGCAACCACCACCAGATTGCAGCTGGGATCTCCTTTCCAAAAAGCAACTCAATATAGGGAAACTGAACTGCAGCACCCATCCAACAGTGAAATGTCTTCTCTGTTCCAGTTCATGCCTGAACAAGCTGACTTAAAACTGTTTGACCCTAGCAGAGATGTGAGGTAGATGCCTTTCAAGCTGGCATACAGTGTAGCCATTGGAGAAAAAGTAGTTCAGTTGCCTGTCGGCATTGCTTGAGCTGACTAAGCTTGATGTTGCCTGAGTGTTGAACTGAGCTCCCCTGCCTGTCCATCTGCATCAACTCGTTTTTTAGCTCAGACCACAAGAGACCCAAAATCTTGCGGCATTTTTGGCTGCAAAGTAATAACATTTCTTTGATAGGACTCATCCTTAATTCTCAGGAAGGATCTTTTCACCCGACTTCCTAAGGAAAGTAGGCTTGAGCAATAGTATTGTCTGCATTTGTATGTGCCAATCTGTTTCTCTCCAAATAACTGTCAAACCTGTTGGCCAAATGATAGAGATCTCAGAGATTTTCTGAGATATAAGCAAAAATAAGCACCAAGAGAGATAGAGAGATAAGTGGGAGCCTAAGTTCATGTGTTTAAATTAAAGTCCTGAGAACAGGAAAAGTTTCAAACAGAGGTCTTCATTAATCACCAGACAAATCAGTGGGAACCCAGGCATCAGTAGTACTACATGAACAAACAGTTTGTTTGTCCAGTGTTTCTTCCTTTCTCTTTTTTCTTCTCGAGTCTGTACACCACTGTGCTAGATGCTGTACAGACTCAGAAATACACTTGTAATAACACAGCAGGAGAGTTGGCATGCAGAAGAGTGGAGAAATCACCCTAGCAGACAGCTTCTTCAGTTCACATCACTTTCTAATGTCAGGCCAATTCATGGTGGAGGGGTGAAGGAGCAGAAAGGGAACAACAACAACATCTTACAACTTCAACAACAGAGGCTTCAAATCGACCAAGAAAACAGCTGTTATGTACACAGACTGCTGGTCCTTCCTCAGATGAAGGGCCTGTTGGCTCTGTCTCATGTCCCAGACTCATGTCGCCTCCAAGGCTGAAAGACTGGTTCCTTACTCTGAAGCTTGAGTCTCCTGGGCTTTGGTAATATTTTCATGCCTTTCTAAGTTGTCTGCTTTAATGAATAAGGAAATAATACGACAGACTGACTCCATGGGCTAGGAGATTGGTTGCTACTTGCTTCATAGCAACTGTCCAACAGAATGAGAAGAAATGAAGAGACTCAGATTGCATTTCTAAACAAATGTGAGAGGGATCAGGTAATGATTTCCCAAGCATTGTCCAAGGAGGTGGCATGATTGGGCAGGCAATGTGAACAGCTTACACCAGGGCTTAAACCCTTCTTCAAAACTCCTTTGCTCACCTGCATTTCCTCTGCTGTCTTCCAGCAGCTCCATCATTCCCATTGCCACTTCCCCTGAGAACTACTCAGTTTCAGCTTTGTGCACTGCTGAAGGACACTGGGGACTTTTCCCTCCTGGTATGCACAAACTCTAGACTCCACGATGCTTCCACAGACCTTGCCTTACACAGATTCATCCAGCTCTTTTACTTCCTACTTCTATTTTCTTTTAAATCCTGTTTTTCCCTTCTAGCCCTTAACACCCTCCCCCTCACATTTATCCCTTAATCAAATTGCTATATGCTCTTCTCAACAATTCTTCTCTAAATCCCACAGGCGGGTTAGAAGCCCCCTGAGGAAAGACTTTTTTTGGCAACAGAGTTGAGATAGGAAAGAGGTCCTTGTCAGAAGCATATTCTATCCCAGAAAGGTTTTAATCCTTCCAGATGCTTTGTCACAAACTGTGCTTTTATGCTGGTGCACTTTTAAAAGCAGCCAGAATACATGCAGAGGTCAGATCTCAGAGCCAGGCTGGAAAACTCTAAATTGCTCTTGCCTTTGATTCTCATGCTTTAAAACCACTCTGAAGTTTAAATAAATGGATTAGAAATGAGTTAAAGAGCAGGGTGCTTAATGCTGCTGCTTAAATCTATAGCCTCAAGCCACGGCACTTTGGGTGGTGAGATCCCGTCAAATCTCACCAGCTCAGCAGGCTCCAAACAAGTTGAGGCTTGGATGCAGATTTCTGGCAAGAAGCAAGGTGAGAGAGACCAGAGAAGTGGCAGTGGTCCTACTGCATCATCACAGAAGCAAATCCCCACTGTGGTGGGGTGGGCAGCTGGGTGTACACGGGACCATCATTTGGGGAAAAGCATCAGCACCAAAGCTATTTGCCGCTAGTACTAAAGCTCTGACACCACATATTTAATTTTATTTTGCTTTAAGACTCATGATTTCCAGACTTCTATCCAGCTGGGGAGAAGGGGGAGCAATGATAATGTAGTAGGCTAGATCCTCTCAGGAGACCCGGCTGCCTTGAAAGCCCATTCTGCTTCCCGTTGTTTATTATTGTTGGATGGTGATAGCACAGCTGCTCTGTTACATCCTAGAGGTGAATGCAATTCCAGAGCTGGATGAAACAATTGTTGTGAATGCCAGCTTGGCAGCAGTTTTGGCCCTTCCTGGGGCAGACCTTTACCCCCCACCTCTCCTACAGCTTTGTTCCACGAAAGAAGAGAAAAGCATTTTGTAGTTGCTATTGAAAGAAATTTCTGAACCTTTTAGAATAATCCCTGTTTTAAAGAAAAGTGAAGTCAGTGAGAGAGTAAATAACTTCTATAGAGCCACAAGTGAAGGCTGCTTGTTAACTGTGGACTTTCTGGCTGCCTGTACATACTGTCCTACTAGCATTCAGCATCCCCACTCACTAGTCCATTTTTCACAGTGAAGCCAGTGGTGATTGTTTCTAGTTCATAGAAGGAGAACTGAGACACCAAGAGATTAAATAGACCCAGCCACAGTGACCCAGATAAGCCTGTGGAAGGAAGTACTGTTGGCTAAAATCCCAAATTTTGAATGCCAGCATACACCTCGCCACATACATATGAGCAGCCCAAACATGGAGGGAGCACAGAATTAGTTAGTTCTGTTTCCAGAGCTCATGCGCTCTTCTCTTTGCAGCAGGCTATAAATTATGCAGCATTTAAAGATGGCTTTCTAAAACCCTGGCTTTAAAGCTTTTATTTATATCTCCCACACTGATATTTTTCAGACTTGTGACAGCTCCCACCTTCACAAGCTGGGGACATGCCAAGCACCTGGCCTTTTCTATAATGGCCCATTCCCCCCTCAGCATGCTCCCATCACCTCTTTTTTAAGCAACACTTAGTATATCTCAGGCAGCTCTTTATTTATAGGAGAGGTATAAAAAAATGAGTGGAAGAGAGTGAGGATGGTCAAAGGGAGAAGCAACAAATGTCTTAAATGGTTGACAAACTTCCTATGACTATATCACACTAGAAAAAAAAATAAGGGCCGGAGTAGCCAAGATCTCATAGTGACAAATAATGTAAGAGCAGTTTAACCCATGTAAATGACATTAGAATCAACGTGGTCAAGATTGGAACAGATGACTAAAGGGAAACACCTCTGTTGTGCTCAGTT